GGAAATTATATACATTTCCCCCTGATTTTATACCTGTAATAGGAATGCAATGTAAATAAACGGACTGATTATTGGGGTGGCCCTGTGGAAATTGTAACTGTGTCTTTCCCCCCCTTTCTTGGGCATTCATCAAGACTCACTTGCCCATCGATTCTGATGGATCTAAACCCGAAGAGGGCTGAATCCGAGTTACTGGAATCATGATGATGATGATGCAGCAGCAGCAAAGCATTTATTCCAACAGTATTTGTCTGTCTTGTGTCTCAGGAAAAGTTGCTTATACTTTGGACCCGCGCAAAACAACAAGCAAGAGTTTTAGAATTATTGGTCACTGCACTAGCTTCCCCTAATACGACCTAGTAAATCCCCCCCCCCCAGTTACAACATGATTTGAGGGTTTAAATCATGGGGTTCTTTTTGTTTTCTTTATAGCTTTTTTAAAAAATTATATTTAAAAATCAAATTTTAACTGCTCTATGGAAAATGCGCCCCTCCAGAAATTTCTGCAAAGGCACAATTTTTATTCCCCATTGCCTTAAATAAAGGAAAATCTGGTTGCAGACTTCTCCAAATATTTCTCAAAAAATCCGAACAAAAGGGGGGGGGGGAAGGATGCATTTGAAGGTGGCTTTAAAAATAGCCTGGTCTCCCCTTTTCCACCTTCGACTCTTTGCCATTTCTTTTTAAATATCATCCCCAAAGGAAATCGACAGAAGTTTCGGAAAGCTGTTCTTTTTTCTTTTCTTTCCTTTCTTTTAATTTTTTTTTTGGGTCCTTTCTTTTTATCTCTAGATTTAGAGATAGCGGTGATGTTCGTTCCCCGCCGTGAAAACCGCCGCCTCTTTTTGCAGTGCGCCGTGGGAAAATAAATAAATAATGCGATTATTTAATTTTGGGCTCAGGCTAAAATAATGACAGCCACCAGAAGCGCCTTAGATTCCAGAAAAGCGATTCCTCCACTAAAAAAAAGGGAAAGAGGGAGTGAAAAAAAAAATATTTCTAACAGCCTATCCTTCCTCGCTTTAATTAAAATGGATGTTTTCCCTGGAAATACAGTCTTCGGGCCTCCTCCGTGCGCCTTCCTCCTCCTCCTTCCTCCGCAGTACAAACAATTCCGGATTTAGGCACCATTATCTCGTGAAATTGCGAAGAAAAACTTCGAAATTGCAGGGAATCCAGCGAGGTGCGTGGCTGGACAAGGAGGCCGATTGTATCAAAAGGGGCCGGAGAAACCGGTGGAGCGGCTATTTGGAGAAATACACCGTCTCCGCACTTTAGCCCCCCCCCAAGTCCAAATTCCCCAGAGTCTATGGGGAAAACAAGCCCCCCCATCTCTGTTCTCGGAGGCACGCATTAATCATCAAGGCGATTGAAAAATAAGTTTTCTCTCTTTTTTGTGGCCTTTTCCAAAGGGGTGTTCTTAATTAAACGGGGGGGGAGGAAAGGTGTGTATTTAGGGTGGGGCAGAGGCCTGAGCAGGTCCATTGCACGCACACACAAACACACACAAACACACAAACATAAAGGGCGTTTCCAAAAAGGAGTTTCATTTTCAAGATCTGAACACCCCCCCTTCTGAAATCCTTTTAAAAGAAACCTGAGGATACGCCTAAACCTTACGCCCATTGCGATCCACTGAGGGCCAGGCGAATGGATCGCTCCTCTTAGGATCCCTCCCGTTTCAATCACCCCAAAATACTGGGTTGGTCCAGAGGGCCGGAAACGTTTGCGCAAACCTCGTATTTTTGAGTGTCTTTTTTTTTCCTTCCCAATTTTTGCCAGGCAGGGACATCCCAAAATATGTTCGCCGGTAAAGCAGGGGAGGGGTGTTGCACGCAAGAAAGCCCGCTGGCTTTCAGGAACCCTAAAAGATTCAACGCTGATTCTCCCCATAAATCGGTTGCGCAAAAAGTTGGCGTTTCCAGGTAAAATAGAGCAGGTGCCCCTCCCCATAACGATCTCACCTGAAGGAAGACCCATGGAAAGCTATAGGATTCCCTTTTTCATTTAGAATGGAATGGACACTAGTGATGGCATGCAAGAGGACCCGATTCTGAGCTCTTTT